GAATGATCGATCAAGATGTACTAGAGTGTCCCGTATATATACTCGCTTAACCAAATAATGACTGCCCGCCGCGACGTATAAACGCAGAGGATCGATGCTGCTGGGCATCAATGGGGGGAAAAGATACTCTCGAGTGACGGGCGAAAACGGAGTTAATCAAATGCACGCTACGTGACGCACGAAAGCGAACGAGCGATCCGCTTTAATTGACACGTATACGCGTCCGCTTTCCCGCCGCACATCACGGCCGAAATTGAATCTCTTTGACCGCTGAAAATTACTCCGATGTATATATTGGCGTGTACGATTAAAAATATATATATGTCATTCGAGATATTTATGAGGATGTCGACGCGCGAATACACCTTTTTACTCGATATTAATTGGTGTTTTTCATTTATTTTATGTTAAATAAATATTATATATGTTTGAATGTATTTTTCATTTCTATTTTATAATATAAAGAAAGTTTCCGGTTCCGCTCAATAACTTATTCGAGCGTATTACACGGATGCAGGATTACATGCAAACGTTACGTTGTAATTCCGGGTCTTCTGAAATAATAAGATAGATATCTGGATCTTCTCTCTCCCTGGCTTAATCCGTCCACTCTGGCGAACGGATAAATCTGTTCTCGACTGGATGGATTTCTCATGGGTCCTCGCATGGATCATGGGATTTGAAGATGAATTAAAGCCTATCGCACTCAGACCATTTCAATTCGAGATGCGTTTACTACTCGTCGAAAACGAGCCTGGCCGGTGGTCTCTCTTCGCTCGTATCTCGCTTATTGTGAACTGCTCCTTGAATCCACTCTCGCTCTTTCTCGCTCGCACTCTCATCGCGGCCTGATCATCTAAGCGTGTGTGGATCTTTTTATAACCGGATTTACAGACGCACAGGTGGTGCGACTAAACGTACACGCATAGGGCTGAAAAGATCGGGATATTGTAAGTCTCGAGATTCGAATTGCCTCGAAATTGTGCTCTACGAATGAGCTCTCCAGATGAACATTGGACGACGATGGTCCTTAGATCGAGAAAGATGAGATTCGCGTTTGAATCAACCTGCCGGTATTTGCACACACATGGGAGTATGACGTTCTATTGGTACAACGTTCAACGTCGGAAATGTAATTTAATGCATATGTCATTTCAATACATTCAATATTACATTTCATTCATTTATAGATTATTACACATAACATTTTCTATCGATGATATGTTAAAAAAAAAAGAATCTTTATCATCAAGTTTGAATCGACGATGAAGATGATCGCACAAATAAATGTGAACCTTGTTTCTAAGAAAGGATCTCCTAGACGTTAATAAGAAAAAACACAGATGTCTACTACGGATTCTGTGGACTAAATTCGAATTAGATTGGATCCAATTTATACTCAATTAACTAAGAAACGCGGTATCTCTTTTTCAGACGGAAAGAGAGATTATTCCGTTCCGAGCGCTTGAGTATTTATTTCGGATTCGAAGAGGTTCTCCATGAAAATTGGTCACACTAGATTTCGGAATTGATCCAGCTTCATCGTTTTCGTAAGTACCATCCACCTTTCAAGAAGATAGGTACCATTTCGAATCGAAGACGTCTCGATTTCTTTTACGCGAAGAGATAGGAGATGGGGAGCACTTCGGATGATATTACGAGCGTGCAAAAGGCGAAACCATCACGGACGAGTTTCTAATTCGGAAATGAGCCGGTCGACTCTCTTTAATTGAAGGATATAACGATGTCCTTGTGTTGGAGGTTGGTGGAGCCGCGATGAACTCTAAGCCGGCGACCGACAACGCGATCCCCTGTCCTCCTCTCGTCGACTCCTCGCATCGGTCTATTGCGTGAGGGAGGCTGAAAGAACGCGTTGTTTTAGACAGAGCGAATGCGGCCCGTCATCGTTCTCGACGCTCTTCATCAACGAATAATGATGAGTCTTATACCTTGAGACAGCGTGGCGATGAATAGCTCGCTTGTGAGATTTTATGATCGCTTGGAGATTTTTGTTACGAGCTCTCGTCGGTTGTGCTATAAATATCGCACGATTTTGGAGAGAGAGAGAGAGAGAGTACGAAAGGGATGGCTGGGTCCGACAGGAAATGCCCGTAATCGGTCATAAAGATGACCTCAATCTTTGTGCAGTCACTTATATTTTCGTAATAAAAAATTATAATAAAACGAGAAAGATATTATTTGACAGAATTTTAATCGACATTTCATATATTGCATAGAAAATTAGAGATGTTTAATTGATGATATCCAAGTGGAAAAAAACGAACTCTGAATTTTTTTCTCTGATAACGTCAACACATCGATATGAACGAAGTAGCTAGTCTCCATTTTTATGACATGATGCTATCAAGGCAGGATGTTTACGAGCGGTAAAATAAATATTTCTGATAAAAATTCTGCCGAGAGCACATGGTAAAATAAACCTTTGAATTTTGTAAACCGTGTTTCCCGCATAAATTGAAAGAAAAGACGTAAGAGAGAGAGGCGCAAGAAAGAAAACGAATTTTTACACTTGAACGTGCGAGACGAATGCGACGTTAAGAGGATTATGCATTTAATTTATTGTGTTAATATGCTGGATTTCGAAGAAGAAAGAGAAATATGCCGGTGAAGGCGAACATTTCCTTCTCGACTTTCTCGTTGCGATATTTCAGCAAAACAAAGTTCAATCATTCTCACTACATATCAGATCTTAGCTTGAAATCTGCGATAGTAATCCGGCGCGATACGTTATCATTATTGAGCAAGATACAAAATGTAAGGTTGAAGTCCCGCGGGAAATAAAGAATTCTAGTGAAACGAAGAGAAAAGAGAAGCACGTTCAACACCAAAAAATGATCGTCTCGCAAAGAAAGTCTCGTAAATGCTAGCCGTTCATTCTCTTGTGTGCGAGGGAATAAATTTTGTAAAGAAATACACACTGTGTGGTATACATATGTAGATAACAGAAAGGGGAGAGAACGTTGCACGGAGGAGAATGCGAGATAGATGCGTACCGGCAACGAAGACGGTCGGGCTTGACCTCGGGGATACATTATTGATGATGGCGCACGCCAAGAATGGTGACTAGATGGTAATTTTCGACGGGACGAAAAAGGGCTACGGTATTCCATACGCTCGGTTCCTGCAGGATTAACGTCGCGGAGGACGTCGTGACGCGGTAGGAATGTCGGATTAGCTCGCGGCACCGGAGCCTGTAACTTTACGTTAAATCGATGGTCCGCGCAGTTTGACAGCTCGATGACGAATATCCGCACTGTAAGATCATAATTTTAATTAATTCAAACGCTTGCATCCACGCGATGAAAAGTCAAACAATTTATGCGAAGAGAAAAATTAGAATAAAATTAAAATAAGAAAAAATCTAGTCTTTTTTACATTTCCAATAAATAAAATTTTTTCAGATTTATGAGCGATCCTTAGAAAAAGGAACCCGGCTAATCATCAAACAGCGTATTAAACAAAATTCCTCGTTAAAATAGTAAATTATTACATTCGAAAAATTCAATGATTAATCAATCACATTGTCTTGGAATGCAATACGTGACTAACAGAAGATTCCTACCTTTAGAAAAAAAAGGCTCGTATGTAAAACCACGAAGAGCTTACTCGGGGAGAGTCGCACGATCGCTCGGGTACTTCGATCAAAGTCGAAGCAAGACCGGGAGCAATCCTTCGGCGGCACACAAGAGATATCCATCTACAATGATGCTAAGGACTGAAGGACCGGGCATTTGTAATCCCGAGTGAGAGACCAGAGGTCGTGGAAGGGACCAGCCGGGCAGCCCAATTTATATATTGCGTCCCGGAGACGTCGCCGATTAATCCTGAAGGAGTCGCGGGACCACCCAAGTAAACCTAACACCCTTTCTCGCCCTGACACCGGTCGCGCGTCGTAAACGTCGTTTCGTTCTGCTTTAACACTGTGGCTTAACTTGAACGTGATAGACGCAGCTGCCCGCTTTTCTTCTCCATTCTGGATCGATGCTAATTAGTCAAAGGACGATGTCGCGCCGTAAAGCGATTAAGGTCGGGAACCGACATTTTTTTGATCCGCAAGACATTTTTTTACAGATGCCAAGAATCGAGCTATAAATAACCAATTCCGACATTATTTCAATCTCAAGAGAAATGAGATAATTAAAATAATGCAAAATATATACCCGACAATTTTCATGTGCAAATTAATATAGATTTTTCAGATGATAAATTATCTTGAATGAATTTATTACAAGTAACTAAAAACGATATTTATTTTCCATATAAAAAATTCAGAAAATAGAATTGCGACGTAGAATATATTTTATTAGCTCGATTCCTATCTATTTACTTCAAAAACAAAAATTAAATTTTTTTTCTTGAAAAGACACACCTACGAGAGAATTTTTCATTTTTCCGGACCTGACGCGTTTTCTAACGAGGCAATGAAAAAACGCGACAGACAATGGCGAACGATTCTTCCTCTTCCTCCTCTTCCTCGCGCTAGTAGTAGATCCCAGCAGTCTCGAATACGAGCGAGGTACCTAAATCACACCCAATGTCAACGGGTCAACAATGCCCGTCACACGCATCCATCTTATTAACGAATGTTAATCATGTCTTCAGCAACGCGTCGTCCAAGTATTACCTCCGCGACCACCTCAGTCGAGCATTGTTCGGTCGAGCTTAACCGAACGAAATGTAACCCACCCCCTCGGTTGCCTTGTAATAAGATACTCGCCATCTTCGTATGTAAATGCCGGCTATTCATTACGTTTCTGGCTGAATGATTGGACCTTTTGTGGGAATCCTTTCACGACAAAGCACTATCGTCGTTTAGGACGCCCGTAGACAAGATGGAGAATATTTGCAAAGTTCTAACCGGGGATCTAGTAAAGAGGAAAAGAAGGAAAGAAGGATGGAAAGATAAGGCGAATTAAGGTCAGATTCATTGCAGCTCGTTTGGAAATTTTCATTCAATTTTTATTCAATTTTCCATTAACCTGTGACGACAAACGGGTTTTACAATATTAATGAACATTGTCTTTGTTGTCCGTTATGGAAATATTTATATGCATAGAGCTAAATCTAACAAAGGCTGTGAATATTTTTTACGTACGTATAAACGGACGTTGTGTCTCGTTAAAGATAAAAATAATTCTTCCAGCGATGTTGCGCAAGTAAAACGCATGCGAGCGTTTATACTGTTGAGTGGCTGATTATATGAACATTATGGTAAAATGGCAGATGCATAAAAAAAGGTGCTAGTTAATCGACGAGATAAAATCTAATCCTATATGTGTGTGTGTATGTATATATGGTGTAAAAATTTCTCGTATATATATCCAATAAAATATCTAACATAAGCTTTTTCGTATTAAAATGTAACCCATTTCAACTGGCATGATAAAATGCGTTATTATGTAAATATCTCTAACAAAAATATATAAAAAGCAAATGGAGAAACGCAGACAGACATATGATGGAAGTAGAAAAATGCATTACCATTGTAATTTCATAAAAATTTTTACAAGTTTATTTTACACCTACGTATACATTATATCGAAGCTCTACAATATTTGCTTAGAATTCTAATGTACAAACAGGTTTGATGGAAAGTTAACGGAGAGACAAACTTTCTCGAATCGATTAATATGTCATATATATTCCATATTTTATGAAAATAGATGCTATAAATTTTTCATAAATACATAATGACCGCCACCTCTTGTCGCATTCTTGAAATTGTTCGCGTCATTTAAAAAAAACTTTCATCCAATTATAAGATATGATTGCGTGGGATGGGAAGATAAGAGAAACCATCGTTTATAAATTATCGGAACTTATGTACACAATATAAAACTATAATAAGTATTTATTAAAACAATAAAAATTTTTATTTTTTTCTCACATACATATACAATATAAATTCGTGCATCAACGAGCGAAAAGCCAACGAGTTTCGTCAGAGTTCAAAGAATTTGTTCGGGACACGCGAGCGTTTTGTCTTCGGGGCGTCGTTCGCAGGAGATCTTTCGGTACTCAAAGGAGTAGGTAGATATTTGGCTTGACTCGAACGCACCCACGTTCCTCCGTCTGGAGGAGCAAATGGTTCTAGAGACGTTTTATGTTTTATGCGAGTTGTGCAGCTGCCCGTTACCGACACCCCCGCAACTCATATTCAAATTAGCAGACGAGACTTTCTCTCTCTCTCTTTCTCGTCCTTCCTTCTCGTCTGTCCCCCTACGTGCGTCTACGTAATGAGAAAAAAGAGCCACGCGAAATATTATTATAACTATAGGTGTAAAGTACTGAAAAAAATAACGTTATCCATATTCTGATTAGATCATATTTTGAAATCGTACATCCTTCACATTATTTAATTTCGCACTGACGGTATCTTACTAATAGAGCAGATGGGCAATTTTCAAACTACTCTGAGCGCATTATATTCACGCTCGCTTATGACGCAACTTTCTCCCGGCGTAAGTAACGAGAGTCCCCATACGTGAAACAGAGTAGCGCAAGAGAAGGAAGGAAGAAAAGAGGCGCAAGCGGTGTCCTTTACTCGGATAGATGGTTTCGCATAATTATCTCCAAGGAAAAATCATTGTGCGCCATATGCCGCTCGTGAAGGGAGTAAACAGCAACGCGGATAGGTAAGTATGCGCTCACGTCGGCTTCGAGGTACATTAAACCTTGCCTTACGCTATCATACGCAGCAACAGCTGCTATGCGAAGCTCGCTATCACCGCATCTCGACGCTTCTTCTTAAGAGACTGGAAGAAAGTGATCCCGTCCATGGAAAATGCGTTCACACGATCGTACTGAAAATCTACAACAAAAATATAGGTAACAAAAATTATTCGTCTTAGGCTCATGATTAGATTCATCGCAATTTCAGGAAAATCGATTGCATTAAAAAATATATATGTACATAACAATAATTTTTATAGTATCTTTAATCAATAAATATGCTACTTCAATGAAGAGATTGACGATATTGAAATCTTCACACGCGACTACCAGCTGGTGAAACGTGTACCAGATTAACTAATATGAATGGCTCATCCGATATAAATGCACCCGCATGAGAAAGAGAGCTATTATAAAAACTCATATGAATACACAACGCCCCCATAACGCGATCTGAAACACCTGGTAGAGATCAAAGTTCACTCGCGATATACCTGATATCGTTAATGTTATGTGTTATGTTATCTATTTTGTATTTGTATAATTTTTTAAATATAAACAAATGTTAAATTAAATTACAATGATGTGGCTCTATAAGAAACATGTATAAATTGAAATTAAACAAGTTGGAGATAATGAGAAGCTGACATAAGCAAAAAAGACATAACCAGTGGCCAGTTTATCTAAAGCCTGTTGAATCAATTAAATCCAAACTTTTTAATTAAAACATAGAATATTTCTAAAACTTTTCGTCGTGTCACAATAAACTATTAAACTTATTTCTCTCATTTCTTATTTTCAATTCATCAAAAATAATTAGACGTATATATATTATTTTTATCTCCGATTTACTTCGTTTAATTATTACATCCATATCAAATTTCGTTCTAACGAAAAAATACTCCATTAACACCTCCTCGATGACCTCTCTTCAAACCTTCGATCTCGATCGTAGGCGCACACGGTGATTGAGAGTGAGCTAGCAAAAAGTGGACCGGTGAAGCCTCCGGCGTCGCATTCCGACTCGTGCCGAAGTATCGTAAGAAAATAAGATATACGAAACAGATAACCACGATTTCAGTCAAGATTGTTGAACGTACTTAACTCCGATGCAGCAGATAACATTACCATATACGGTGGCAGTGAAATAATTGCAACGTCGACGCTCCGACAAAGAAGAAGCGTGGGTTACGCGTGCTGATGATCACTTTCCTTCTCCAAAGTGAGTTATATCAAAAGAATCGCTAACAATAATGAGAATAAATTTTAACGACGGAAAACATGAATATGATAAATGTTTCATATAAATTTTCTCTATTTGTTTAAACTGTCTCGTATTTAAGTATCGCCGATTTAATTGGCACTTTATCTTTTGTAACTTTACGAAGAAAATCATTGTAAGAAATTCAAAACTTTTTCAATGACGGAAATGCTTATAAGGCGAAAGCTGTTCCTTTCGTTTGAAATTTTATACATGCACATAGCAGATTTTATCGGCGATCTGATATCGACGTCCTTCCTGATTCGGCAGAATTTTGACGCTGATGAAATCTGACACCAGCAAGAAGATCACTTGGAACTGATTGAGTAAAGGAGGGCTTCGTGGCGGCACGATGTCGATAAACTTCTGACAAATGCACTTAATCACCTGCGTCTGCGTCACGGTTGGCGCCGTTGCATGCATGCAAAAGACGGGGCGCATCTTCTACATCTCGTCGCAATTACTGGCTGACGCGTGCATCGAGTCGGTAACTATATAATTTTGCCCTCACATTGTTATAGCGCTGAAGACACCTTCGATTCATTTTCGTGCCGACAAAGGTTATATACAATAAAAGTGCGTACGAGTATACATTTTTATTTTTTTAATAAAATATATTAAAAATGTTACATATAGAAATTAAAATTATAGATATACATATACAAATGTAATAATTTTAATATTATTCATTTAAAAAGACAAAGATAAATATACCACCCTCTTTATTATTTTTAATGACTGTTCAAAATTTACTGCGAGTAAATGACTTTTTTATTTTGTCGTACGCACCGCACACTGGGAACAATCTCTTGAGCATTCGCCGGGATCGAAAGAAGAATTCGCGATCTTCGATCCACCGTGCAGTTGCGTGAGCGTCAGAGAACGCCGCGCCGCCCCGACGCAATATTCTTGCGCACGAAAGCCATTAAACAGATTAAGTCCGGCAGCCGGATTACACGCGACACCGCGGCCTTAATAGAGACGTAAAAGTGTGTCTCAAGTAAAAGGTGGCTCTGCACGCAGCGATGCGGTGCCGCGAAAAAAACCCAATCCCGCCTGAATGGAAATTGATTGCAGACTGGGTGGCGTGAAGTCCGGCGCAGGGATTTTATGCATATGCATCGGTAATCACGGCCGAATTCGTAATTAGCGCGTTAATTGACCGTAATTCGGCGTGTAATGATCGCGCGCTCTTTCTCTTCGTCACGGAATTTCCGGTCAAATTTTTGCGAGGACGATGAAGTAATTTTACGTTGCATTATGTCGCCAAAAACGTTTGTTAAACGACGATCTCTTCTTCAGTTTTTCTTATATAAAAGAAATTTAAAAAAGGAATATCTCAAGGGATGAATTATAATTATAATTCCTATCGTTTATATCGTTTGTTTACTGATATATTTTAAGACGATTACTAAATACTATATATATATATATATATTGTTGTCGAGGACCGAAACGCACTTAATGAAGGACCTTTAGTCGCCGGTCTGTCAACCCTTGTTAATCCTGGCAAATAAACATGGAAAAAAGCAAAAGCGACGGGCAGAAAATAGCTCCTCCAACCGATAGGGTTCTTACCCCTTTTTGCGTTATTAAAAATAATGATGACATATATTAGTTTTAACGAAGAAAACGCGGGTTTTTTACCATCGTCTTTATGCGCCCGGTCATTTGTTTCCGGCGAAGTAAACGCCGCGCCGAAATGCGCGACAATGGATGCTCGCCTTTTACCGGCGAATGTCCAGGGAAAGAAAAAGGCGCAGAAACGCGCATGAAAGAGCAAGAACAAAAAGGAAATGAAAGCAGGCGAGAGAGCAAGTCGGGAGGTGGTGCTCGTCTCTTTCTTTTCTTTGCGAAGGCAAAATCGTCTCGTCGAGATTCCACACATGTCGTAATTTCAATTTCAAATTATCCAATCCTAAAAGCTTACTGCACCCACTTGGCGAACGTTTGTTTCCTCGATAAAAGGAGAACGCGAAAATAAACAATATGCTAACTATATTTTATATTGGATAGTAGTTAAATTGTTTCTATATTTAATTCTCTCTGAAACATTTTTTTCGGAATCTGCTTTTAAGAATTAAATTCTAATGTCTTGTATTTGCTTTGTAAATCGAATGAATAAATAACTAATATGTGACTTTCAATATATGAATTTACCTTACAATTATCTAAAATTGATCGAAACTTGAACTGAACCTCTAACCTCGTATATAATATTTCCAAGAGTCTGTTGCACAATTTCCTCCTGTGTGGAAATTTTAAATTCAATATTATCCGAGTAATAATCCTCATGATCTTATTATCGAGAAGGAATAAAACATAGACCGACATCGTATATACGCCATGAAGAGTCGAATGGCCAGAGCGCAATTTCCTGGTGGCGCCTGCATAAATTACCATGTATTGCATTTTATGTTACGACCGTTACATACGAGTGCGTAGCACATATCTAACTCTTTCTATATACGTATAAGTACGCGCGCACATATGTATGCGAAACACGAGGATAATTCAATGACCGTATAAGAGCGAAGCTACTTTCGATTAGAGTACTTCCCGTCGAGAGAACATTCGAGCGCGAGCGATGAAATTAAATCGAACGTTTAAGTTACGTATGAGTGCGGCTATATATCGAGATGAGAAGAATTTTTCTCCCATTGTTCTATAAGTCAAGCACGTTTTATTGGCGTTAATAAATTTCACGGCTGCGAAGGCGGTCGGAAAATCGCACGAATCTCGTTAAAATCTCGTGAAAATTTACCGCGGTAATCCGATATAGCCGTCAGGCGATATAACAACGACGCGTCAATGAAAAACTGACAAATTGTTCCCGCGAATCATCAATCAAAGTCATTCTCATTCGAATCGTTATACGAGCGTCTGATTTGCATTAATAAATTTCTGCACCGAAAACCGCAGCAGGTGAAAATTTATGACGATGATTTTGTGAATTTCTCATAACAATTCTCGGTGAAAAACGATTGTCACCAGAGAAATATCGCATTCTTCTCGCAGCGCGTTTCGTCGATATCATTCTGTTTTTGGTTTCACATTTTTTAGCGCAAAAAGTTTCTGCTATTAAATCATATCGAACGGATAAAAAAATTCTCAGCTTATGAAATTTTTCTCATTTAACATTTAAAATAAAAAATTCTTAGAGTAAATATTCGTAGAGGTTTTCCTTAAAAACGCATTCGCGAATAAATATCATCTCAAAAAAATTCTCAGCTTATGAAATTTTCCTCATTTAACATTTAAAATAAAAATTCTTAGAGTAAATATTCGTAGAGGTTTTCCTTAAAAACGCATTCGCGAATAAATATCATCTTCGAGAATATGAAATGGAATCTTCGTTCGCGTGATTTAGGAACAAGTCAAAGGGATGTTAAGATAATTCAGCAATTAACTAGAGAAAAAAAGAGAGAGGTTCGTATCGTTTGCAAATCAACGAAGTGTATAATTAATGGCACGTGACCTTTAAAAGAAAGTCTTCGTGTCGTACTTTGATTCGACTGTACGTAAAGTTGGAAAACGTTATTTATCCTACGAGACAGTATTGACCTATGATACGATCATTATTAATCACGCTTTAAGCGCAGATTAAATTGCGATTTATATCGCGGCGAATGCGTAGAATTGCCTCGTTAATTTTAGCTCAAGGAAACTTAGCGACATTCGAAAGGGAATTGACGCGCAGTGGGTGTCTCGCAAAAGTAATATGCACGCGAGCACTTTATTGCAACTTTGTATCTTACAAAATTATATACGAAAGATCAGAAATGAAATAAAAGTGTGAAAGATAAAGTTAAAGACAGATATCTTTATAATTTGCAATCCACGGGAAGAAACAAGTCGAATCACATTGGGATTATCCT